TATATATGACAATACATATTAGAGTAACTTAGAGCTTCACATTAATGCATTAAATAGATGCACCCCAGGTCTAAAACTGAACAAGGAAAAATAATTCTGTCCAGAGCCTGAAAAAATCATGGATGGAATCAGTTAATAGGGAATCCCCAGGGGTGAAATGTTGGGCAATTTCAGAAATACCTACAATGCTTTAGTCTTCTTATTTTTGTATTACTTGTAAACAGTAATGACCAATGAATAAGATGTTATAAGAGTACATGTGAATAGAGAAGTGCTTAAATGAAATACGCATAAAATTGGAAGATGGCAAAGGTGAAATGAAATGGGACTATCAAATTTGTTAACTTTTCTTGACTGTTAAGCAAGTCTTTTGCTTTAACGAGTTCACTTTTTTTCTTCTTGCTTCAGCTTTTAGATGCAGCTCCCACAGACCTCCTGCGCAGTGGTGCGGCATACACACCAGGACATCTAGCTGTGAGTCAGACGCCTACATTTTGTCTTATTGTTGGGAAACACTAGTTTTGTTGGTCTGATCTCCAGTTTTGGCAGGTCACTTATGGTCTCCCCAAGAAACATCAATAAAATGATGAAAAATGACACTTTTATTGATTCATGTACGGAATTTGGTTTACAATGGCAAGAACTGTGTATGCATGCAAGAGTTAAAGAGGTAAATTTCAGACAGTAAACAATGTGACACCAATACATACTGTCCTTTGAGCTCGCTTTATCCTGTCTTGCTCAGTTAATCCTGCTGCAATTGGATACTAGGCAATTTGTAGAGGCAGATACTTGTGTAAAATGCGCTATTGTACTTCACAGTCTGCAGTGCTTCTTTGTCCCATAGGGGGGGGGCTAAAATGGTCAACTGGATTGTACTTTGTAGACAAGGGAATTATTGCAAAATCTTAGTATTGAACGAGTTTGATGGTTTTAGTTATGGACATAAACAGAAGGCTTCCTTCGTTTCCTGTTTATGCTTCTTAATCTCCCGTCCATGCCTTGTGAAAATCATTCTCAGGTTGTGGTTCTCTTCAAGGCCTTCTACTTTTACCTCAGGGCTACACAGATCTCATATTTTAGTGAATGTTTACATGAAATGTTTCCCTGTGTCCTTGAATTATTCGAAAATTTGGCCTTAACTAGCTGTTTACGCATACTGGCCCCAAATTTTGATGCCGCTTTAGTTTCTTGGCTATTTTGTCTTTGCCTATAGTGAAACTGAATACATCCAATTTCCCTTAATGTGTCATGTTTCTGTTGGCTCTTGTCACACAGGCATACAACGGCCATAATGAAGCCTTGCTGGTGCTGCTGGGATATATGATGAATGTGGATGTTAAGGACAGCAATGGTGAGTTTGTAGCTATTTTCTTGTCCTAGATTTTTATGTTTCATATATTTTAAAGTGTAATGGTCTCTTTCTTCCTGAATCGCATGATTAATAATGTGAGTGTGATTTCAATGTGCAGAAGTTATCTTTTAGACTGAATTTGTCTCTCTCATAGAACTTCACGGAGCCCATGTTAGCCTTGATAAACAGTGCGGAATTGATCTAAATTGGGGTGTAAATCATTTCGCCTGCTCAGTGTAAAACTCTGCAATACGCCATTTTGAAAAGGGGTGTATGGTGGAGAGTCTTACCCTGAGCAGTCCATTTTCTGTTATCACAATCTCAATTACATGGAGGAGAGATAAAAAGGGAGTGATTATTTCTGTTAGCATTACATGATAACTACTATAGGTAGAAGAATACATCTAAAAATGTAAGTTGAAAATTACCTAACATTAAGTCAGCCCAGCCAGAGTGGTAAACAGAGAGTTGACCCCCCATGACTTTGACCTGATAAAGCAATAAATTCCACTGCTTGTGAGCTGTGAAGTCGGCATTTTGATTTTTAAAGTAAGGTTTGTTCAGTAATATGTTAAAGAAAATTAAAATTGTTCCCCTGCTCTCTATTTGTAGGCCGCACTATGCTGGACCTGGCATGTTTCCGAGGACACACGGAGTGCGTGGAGACGCTGCTCACCCAGAATGCAAAGATTCTCGTCCATGACAGCATTACTAGGAGGACACCGCTCCATGCTGCAGGTATATATGTATTAGATTTGTCTCTTATTGTTCAGAACACATGTCTCTTTGTCCCTTAAAATTATGTGGAATCTTTGATCCCTAGTTTTGATAAAGTTTGTACTGTTTAAAGTGAATTTGTGAGCGTGCTTGAAGAAAGGTCTCAGTTTCCGGTCGAGCTATTTTCGAGCAATGGGGTGAAAAGGTAAAAAATGTTGTACTTCAGTCAGTGAACCTGCATGCATTCTGAGCGCTGTGAAGTACAGGACAACAGAATGGGGGAGATTATTGATTTTTTGAAAAGATACTCTCGGGGAGGGGGAGGGCTTTCCGTTCAAGATTCGCAGATTTTCAGTGTCACTGCATCCTTTCCCTATCACAGTTTTTACAACTCTCACACTGAATAGGTCTACTTAAGCTATTCAAGTTATTACTCTACTTTGAGTTTGAGCAATAATATTTTTGTTTGTCACGTTTATTATGTGAATCATGACACCCAGACTGGTTCATGACAGTCGATATTCTGGTTCTAGGCCTTTTCTCAGGCTCAAAACAAGATTCATTTTTATTTAGTTGATATGTGATGAGGGGAATGTATTAATAAATAAAAACAGACTGAAATACCTAAGTTACATGAGACCCCAGTGCCACACTGACATGTTGACTGGATATATGTACCTTCATATGTGTGTGTGTACACAGTGAATGTATATTACTATATATACACACATATATATTATAAATGGAGCATGTGCTGTCTTTGTTATGTAATATGTCCCTGGAAAATGGATGAACCGCCCCTGGAAAACTGAGAAGCCGGGTTGGCAGTCACCCTGTTAGTGTGTTCAGCTTTGAATTTGCTACAAGAATATTCTCTTATTTCAAGATCCAAAGTTTCCGACAACTGGAACCTTTCTCCAGACACTCACACATATAATGCATTCTAAGCATTTCATCAGCAACTCTCTCTCTTTCTCTCTCGCTCTTTCTCTCTCTCTCTCTCTCTCTCTTTCAATCTCTCTCTCTCCCTCAATCTCTTCTTTCCCTCCCCCTTTTCTCCCTTCCTCCCTACTCTTTTTCTGTCTCTTTCACCCCTTCTCTCTTATTTTCACCAGCTCAAAATGGCCACACCAAATCACTGAATTTGTTATTGGAGACAGCAGATGATGGGAACATTGTGGACTGTACAGATCTTTATGACAGGTCAGTGGTGATGTTGTTGTCTTGATGCCTTAAAACTCACTATTTATGATTTTAGTCTAATTTACTTTGATCTTTTTTATTTATTTAGTACAGTAGCTTTGTATGCAAACTTGCCAAACATGTGGAAAAATTTGTCTTTTAAACAAACGAGATCTTTGCATGAAAGCTGATTATTTTCTTACCAACTTTAGACAATGTGCAACTGATCAATGTCAACAACAAAAATTAAGAAAGAAAACATGAAGAATCATACTGGTAAAAAGATTAAAAGGTATAGTATGCTTGACAATGTTATAGGCTGTGTCACGTCTAACTCTAGGATAGATGGCATCTTCTCTTGCTGTCACGCTCACCCAGACACACCTGCACACTTACTCTCTTTCTCTCTCACACAGACATACATACTCTCTCTCCCTCCCTCCCTCCCTCCCTCCCTCCCTC